CTCATTGGAGGGGATATACGTGAGGTCGGGGTGGGCCAGACTGACGTGACGGACGCGCACGACGCATCCAGACTGCCACATATCCGTTTCATATTTGAGGTGGATATGATGGGCACCGGATAACCCGGTCGTTTTAGAACAGTTTAAGACGCCGAGGTGGGTCGGTTTTTTAAGTGAGCGCTCAGCCCACCTGGGCTTTTGAGACGGGCTCGAGGCCTCGCTATAGATTGCTCTAAGGCGTGGCGGCAAAGTAGCGACCATCGCCAACTCTTTCTATCTACTAGTAAGATGCCCGTGTATTGCACGGAACACCAAGATTGTTCCATGGCCTTCTAGATGTGGTGGGGAAGAGATAAAGCTGATTGTGAGAGACAAAGAGTTGTTTGTAAATATGAAAGAAAACAAGTGTGGACATCTTTTGTAAAACTGCATCAGTTTGCTTTGTATGCGTCAGATTTAGATACGACGGCTATTGGTGAAAGATGACAGACACATCATCATCAATAACTCAGGTTTTTATAGAGTATAAGATGATTATATGATTCCTGCGTACGTGTTTGCGCTGTGGAAAGGTACATCACAACAGGACGAGTGATCTGCAGGCGGATATCACTTTATTATCCAACTACTAGCATATCTCGACTATTTTCATATTTTCACAAAGATGGGGTTGAGCTCGCACTATGTGATGGAGATGTTCTGATGTAGTAGTTCCAGCAAAGATGAAAAATAATGCCAGACTATTTTAAGCACTAGAAGTACATCATATCTGATCCGATCTTTTATCTTGACCTCTTTCAACTAAAGGGAACAGTGAGTGCAATTGGGACGTGATATTTTATTCTTGACAGAACATCAGGAAGTGGGCAGGAGATCCATTTATATGTCTGATTTATGAGATAAACTAAACTGAAAACAATACATAGCATTATTGAAGGACGACCGTTCTAAACCCCTACAAGAGAGAACAGCTAGCTAAACTAGGTCAGAAGGGTCGTCTAATACATGAGACAACTCGATTTGTAATAAAGACCCACCATCAAAACAGCTTAAATGATCGCAATCATGTGCGGCGCTCATGCAACAGTATATGGGTATCTCCAACGATTATCCTTAAACCACTTATGTCATCCAACGTTGTACCTCATCCGTCCGCGGATCGATCCGAATGTCCGTATAACCGTAAACTAAAGGCAAACTTAGATGGCTTTACGGGAGTCCGGACACCAACCACGTAGGACTCTGCCACCCCCGCCCAACCGAAATCTCTCACTCCGTCCCCTTTTCTTTCACTCCACTCCTGCTCCCCCTACCTTTCATCCGAACCCTCGTCGTCTGACGCCGTCACTGTACCTCTTCGGTCGTCGCCCAGACATCCTCGGACGTCCGCAGACCCCACCCACATGCTTGCGCGCCTTGAACTACGCTAGTGTCCACCCAGGAATCCCTTGTAGACATATACCCTCCGCACCCCTGTTGATGTCGTCCATGACTGACACCACGCCTGGCAAGTGTTGGGTCAAATGACATTGAGTTTTTTAACTTCTTGTTGTTCTCTAGAGAATCACGCACGATAGTGGGGCACTCGGCGATCGAGGATGAGTTGTTGTGCGATGCGTGGTTGGCCGTTTATGAGGACTTTTTAGGAATGAACGAGGACCCAAACTTTCGGCACGCGCTCTACGACATGCACGTCATCCTTGAACGCAGTGTGAAGTCGCTAATGCATCGGTGGTACACCATCTACGACTCTGTCATGAAGTTTTAGGTGTGATTCACCGAGTGCAGATAAGGTGGCCATTGGGTTCGTCAACCATGGAGATCATAAGTGTTGCTTTCTATTACGCTATATGTTGGTTAATTTATTTATTCAATCGATGTTGATCTACACGTTTTATAGCTGGCATGTGTTGCCATGATGTACTACAGGACTGAGGCCATCTCATGCATTTTTGGATGAAGCTTAAGAACAGTTTGTGTGAGACGACATGTGCTGGTTCTAACTCTAGTATGGTTGATTTGGATTAGATGATTTCGAAAAACTTGTTGAACATTCGGTTATCTCGTTGAATTTGAACTATTGTTGTACTAGAGATATTTGCATGCTATTTATGGAAGAATTGTGCTATTTTCTATAATTACTTTGAGTGTCGTGGGCTTGTTTTACTTAAACGGACGAAATATCGTCTATTTTATGTAAATTATGTCCGAACTTTGCTGAATTTCATCGAGTTTGATGAAATTTGTTCGGATTGTTGAAATTCAGTTTGAAATTTATGCAGGTATGGTTGGATGGCCAACTCTCGCAACACTGTCAGTGGACTGGTCCCTACCATCCGCGGACATATACAGTGCCCGGTTCAAGATGCCCTTACACATGATAGCGCAAAGGGTAGTAGTGGAGCGTGATTCCTGTTGTTTTTGCAACTAGCGCACGCACGCTCAACCTTGGGCTTGGTTTCTTCTTTTCTCATTCGCGCATACATTTGCATTCTTATTTCTTTCCAACGGTTTTGAGAACCATCGTTTCACCGGTTTTTTCTGCGGTGGTTTTTGCTGGTTTTTTCCATTTGTTTTTTTATTCTTTTTTTTTAGTTTTCTATTTTCTTTTTTGTTTGTGTTTAAAAAATCTAAATGGCAAACCTTTTAAATTCTTGAACATTTCTTCAAAGTTCGTGAATTGTTTTTCAAATTGGCAGACTTTATTCAAATAAATAAACCTTTTAATTCGTGAAAAAAATCAAACTCATGAATTTGTTTGAGTTCATGAAATTTTTTTTAATTCATGAACTTTTTACAAATTATAAAAAATTTCAAGATAATGATTTTTTAAAATTTAAAAGTCTTAAGTAAAAAAGTTTAAAAAAATGACGAGTAGTATTTTGTGCCATGTTTTCCCAAATCCATGTACGCTTTCTAAATCCATGAAGGTCATGGATTTAGAAAGCGTACATGGATTTGGAAAGGTTCGCAGATTTTAAAAAATCACTAATTTGGAAAAGGTTCACTCGTTCTAAAAAAGGTTGATGAATTTGGAAGAAGTTCAAGCATTTTAAAAACTGTTCGTGAATTTATAAAAAAATGCTCAAAAACTTGAATATTATTCACCCATCTTAAAAATTACGTGAATAAAAAAATAAAAAATAAAGAGTGAACAATACCTGTCCTACAAAAACAATAATAAACAAAAAAGAACGCAAAACCAGACAAATGAACATTCTAGAACGTTCCCAAAACAAGAAAAAGTAAGCACTATTTACTGTGCTACATGGACCATTCTTATTTTTTTTAACACTGACGCAAACGCTAGTATATACTCGCATGCACTCACCCTACATGGTCCATCCGTTAGCGATCTGATTCTGTGCGATGAGCTAACTGTTTGGTCAAGAAAAAAATATAAATGACGCCTAAGGGGTGACGGTTGTGTGTGCCAGCTGACAGGTACAAGTAAATCCAGCACTCTAAAAGTAAAAAAAAAAAAGGCCGAATAGGGATTGCGGGCGCTCCCGTAGTGGAGCGTGTACCACTTGTGAATAATTTAAAAAAAAACACTCCCTTTGTTTTTTATTTCCCTGCATATTAGTTTTTTCTGAAGTCAAACTTTACAACGTCAAATCAATACCACTAGATGCATCATTAAATATATTTTCACCTCAAATAATTATGTTGTTATAAATGTTCATATTATTTTCTATAAACTTGATCAAATTTAATAAAATTTGACTTTTGTCATAGTTAATAAATGGACTAAATAAAAATGGAGGGAATACTACCATGAAGTGTGAACGCGTAGTTTTGGGGTTTGAGCGATAGTGGTGGTATTTATGGCATTTAGTTTTTTTTGCTGAAATTTTGTATTGTACTAGTTGTTAGTATATTTTTATAAAGTTGATCAAACTTTGCAGTAATTAACTTGAAAAAAAATATTATTCACCTTATTTTCTAAGCACAAAAGAAATAAAGTTCGACATTAACTTTGTTTGATTGGCATATATAGATCGTTTGGTGGCACATATATATAAATATAAATTTCTTTTGATTTTAATAGAGGTTTGAACTGCAGGTGTATTATTTGAATTTCCAAAATTTAATGAAAATTCACTATAGCTTCCTAATATTATTGGAAGGCTAGGTACTACTCCCTCCGTCCCATAATATAAGAGTGTTTTTGACACTAGTGTAGTGTAAAAAAGCTTTTATATTATGAGACGGAGGGAGTAGTTTTCAAGATATTTTAATAAGAAAAAAAGTGCATCAATTTAACTGATCTTTAATCTACCAATTAGTTTACTTAGAGTTAATTTTGTGTGGGGAGTTTTATCCATCCAAAATTCATGAATTTTTTTCAGGAATATTTCTAATAACAGAGGAAGTTATGATAAATGTTCAGGGTTTTCGAAGGACATATAGTAGTACTAGAACATTTTTACATGGCTTAAATTTGCATCATTCTCAGATTAAAGAAATGATGCCTATGACATGATTATGCTGCACAATGAACTCATAATTACTACTCCCTCCGTTCCTAAATATAAGTCTCTCTAAAGATTCCACTAGATGAACTACATACGGAACAAAATGATAAATCTACACTTAAAATGCATCTATATACATCCGTATGTGGTTTACAGTAAAATCTTTACGAAGACTTATATTTAGGAACGGAGGGAGTAGTACTGTACTAATTTGGACTCCGGACTCGGCCTCATAGCTTCGCCTCCTCTTCTCACCCGAATCGACTGACCCGAATTCAAAAGTCGGGCAACTTAAAAGAAAAAAACGCGCGACAGAAAATCACAGAAGTAATAAGAGTCTCATTTCCCATCATCTCGTTGTTATTCAATCGATGGTTACAAAACTGCCAAAGCTTATCCCCTAACGACCAGATTCACCGCCACTATAATTCATCCTCTCGCTACGTGCCCACCACTGCCTAATGAAAGCCTACGTAATCAATCCCAAACAAAAAATCTCGCAATCTCCTAATCCTGATCCCACTACATCTTGCGCCTCCTGATAGCCAGAGGAGTCCGCACCCGGTGGTTCCCTGGCCCGTCGGACCAGACAATGGCGCCGAACCCGTACCCTCCGGCGCCCTTGGGCGCCGGCACGAAGGGGACCCTCGCCACGAAGCTCACCTGGAACTCCTTCTCCTCGCCGACGGCGCCGAATGCCAGCGTGGTCGGCGTCACCGTCACCTGCACCCCTTCCGGCTCTCTGACGACGGCGGCCGTGTACGTGCTCCTCGGCGCGCCCACGTTCCTGACCCTGCGCCGCACCGTCGTCAGGCCGGCGAGGTCCGGCAGCGTGATGGACGGGTAGTTGAGGTCCCGCACGGCGACGGGGACGGCCGGGCACGCGTAGCGCGTCTCGTTGAACCTGCCCATTGCCGTCACGTTGTACCCGAGCGCGCAGAAGAAGTTGAGGTAGTCGCGGTACGAGGCGTCGTAGACGAGGCCCGGGTCCAGCGCGCGGGCCGGGAAGACGTGGCCGGAGCCATAGCTGAAGGGCGTCGCCGGCTGCAGGAAGGGATTCAGGATTGGCCGCTGCTCCAGGTCCAGGTCCGTCGCTGCACCAGGCAACAACCCAATGAGTCTGATGAACAGCTCGTCGTGGCAGACACACAGCAGTTGATGCGACGTTCGAACTCACCGGTGGTCATGATGGCCGACTTGATGGCGGCGGGGCTCCAGTCGGGGTGGAGGGTCTTGACGAGGCCGGCGATGCCGGCGACGTGCGGGCACGACATGGACGTGCCGGACTGGATGGTGAAGTCGACGCGGCGCTGGTCCCAGGGCCGGTCCGAGGGCGACGCCATGCCGCTCCACGGCGCGATGATGGTCACTCCCGGCGCGGTGACGTCCGGCTGCCACCCCAGTGAAAGAATTCACATCAAGTTGTTGACTTGGATACAAAATGAAATGAGGCTGTGCTTATGATCGATACGCAAAATCAGGCCACCTTTAGGATCTCCGGGTTGAGGACGTTGGGCCCCACCGACGAGAAGGAGGCCATGACCGGCGCCGGCCTCGCGCCGACGATTGTCGTCGCCTTCGAGATGAATCCGGAAGGAGGAGACCTTGACACGAGCACAAATTAATCCGCTCAGTAACCCAGTAGAACTAGGGCTCACATTATTGTTACAGAGGTTCTTGATTTGATTTGACATTGCGATCGAGGAGTGGCTTACGGGGTGGACTTGATGTACGCCATGAGCGCGAGCCCGTCGGTGTAGTTGATGTGCAGGGCCGGGAGAACGTGCGCGTCGGCGATGACGTTGCTCCCGCCTTCCTCGTCGTTGACGAGGACCATCCCGACCCCTCCGGCTCGGCGCACGGCCTCGCCCTTCTCCATCCTGCGGACGCCTCCTCTCACGCAGCACACCACGATCTTTCCCGTCACCTTGGCCGCGTCCAGGGAATCCAGCATGCACACCTGACTGCAGCGCGCAAATGAGCTCAACCTCAAGACAAGACTGTTGCGATGATGGAGCTCGGACGTCAGTGAGGGTGCTTACGCGTCCTCGACCGTCCTGCCGCGGGCGATGGCGTCGGTGGCGATGATCAAAGGGTAGAAGCCTTTCCCCCGGAGCGACGTCTCCGACAGGCTCTGCCCTTCCACCCTGGTGCGGTTGAAGATGAGGTAACCCGGGAAGGCCCTGTCGGTGGTGCTGGCGGCGACGGTGATCACCCACGGCGCGAGGTTGCTGACGGTGCCGAAGTCCGGGCCGTTGTTGGTGGCGGAGCAGACGACAGTGATGCCGGCCTTGGTGGCGTGGAGCGACCCGATGGCGACCGTGTCCTCGAAGAAGTCCCTCTGCTCGCCGCCCACGGACGCCGTGATGACGTGCACCCCGTCGGCGATGGCGGCCTCGAAGGCGGCCAGGATGTCGGCGTCGAAGCACTCGACGTCGTTCACGGGCGGGTTGAAGCAGACGCGGTACGCCGCCACGCGCGCGCGCGGGGAACCGCCCCTTGCCGTGCCGTTGCCGTAGCCGTAGGCGGAGGCGCCCTTGACCTGGGAGCCGCCCGCCGTGGCCAGCGTGTGCGTGCCGTGGCCGACATCGTCCCGCGGCGTGTTCAGCCTATCGGGGGGCGGGTGGCCCGCCTCCATCGCGTACCCCTTGTTGAAGTAGCGCGCGCCGATGAGCTTGCTGCGCATACAAAATCAGACCAAGATACCGCAGCTGAAATAATAACTAATCCGTAGATGACGAGGCTACGTACCTGTTGCATTTGAACTTGGGGTCGTGCTGGTTCTGGCAGATCCCCTTCCAGGTGTCCGGGATGGGCCCCATTTGGCCGTCGTTGAAGCTCAGGGACTCCGGCCACACGCCTGAGTCGAGGTTCCCGATGATGGTGTCCCTGCCGTACCTGGCCACCTCCCACGCCGACCACTGCGGGACAACGCCGGCCTTCTCGAGCCCCATGAACTCCCACGACCTCGTCGTCTGCATCCTCATGCCGCGGTTCGGGAACACCGAGACCACGCCGGGCCGCTCTGAAACACATCGATATGCCGGGATCTGAATTTCTGTCCGGCGCGAATACACGACACAAACATTTACTATGCATGCAGGAAGATGACTGGCTCACTGGCGATCGCTGCGGCGACGGCGGGCTCGAGCTTGGCGGCGAAGCCGTTGATGTTCTTGGTGTAGGAGTAGAAGATGGCGTCGCGCGCCTTCTCCCGGCTGCACGCACGTGTCGATCGATCAGCCGTGACACACATTTGACAAATTGCATTTCATCCTACGTAAGTGCACGGCGCGCGCATGCATGGAGTGCACTTACTCGCCCAAGACGGAGCCGAGGAGGTCGTAGTGCGACTCGGTGGCCAACGTGGACGCCTCCTCCGTCGAGACGCCGGCGCGATGGGAGTGGGCGCCGAGGTACACGATGTACGACGAGGACGACGGCGGCGGCTTCGTCCCGGCGGCGAGCGCGCAGAGGAGGAAAGAGACTGCCAGTGGGAGGAGAAGGCGGCGTGTGGACTGAGCGGCCGCTGCCGTGCCGGTCTCCATGGCCATGAGCACGTACGAGAGGGGCTGTCGATCGGTGCCCGCGGACAGGAAGCTCGATCGGGGAGGAAGCTGGCTATAAAGGAGGGGAGAGGAGTGGAGGCGGTGTGAGTGAGGGGTTAAGGCAGGAGGACTCTGTCTTTCTTGCCGCTCGTAATTCGCGTGGGCGGTTTCGGTTGATCTGCTAGATGGAGAGCGGTTACAGGGGAGACTGCCGCCATCGGTGTGCATGAAAGCACTGTAAATGGAGGCCAGCCTTTTATTTTGGCGTGGTAAAACATACTCCTACGTAAAAATCAAAGATTACAATCCTGATGGCAACATATAAATTCCATTTTAAGTTCGTAGCACAAAATTTAGCACAAATAGAAACCCGTTAACCAGATAGGTCTTGGACCGAGGCAACAGTAAAGAACAATACAAACCAGTTAACCGATACATGATACGTCCATTTTGCATCATGTGTTCCTACTGTTATTTATAGTGTTTTTAATCGTTATAACACTTTATGGAGAAATTCTATTGTATTTTCATTTTTAATATACAAGATTTATATGAAGAGGGAGATTGCCGGCAGCTGGATTCTGGACCTGAAAAAGCTACGTCAGAGATACCTATTCTGCACATCTTTAAATGAGCTGAAATTTGACGGAGATTTATTTTAAAATAAATAAAAATTATTAGAGAAAAGAAGTACCAGAGGGGGCCACCCAGGTGCCCACAAGGCACCAGCGCGCACTCCTCCGGTGCCCATCTTCTGGTATATAAATCCATTTGCCCTAGAAAAATAAAAGGACTTTAGGGATGGAGCGCCGCCATATCGAGGCGAAATTTGGTCAGGAGCATTTTTGCTCTCCGGCGGAGCGATTCTGCCGGGAATACTTTCCTCCGGGAGGCGGAAATCAAAGCCATCATCATCACCAACAACCCTTTCATCATGGGAGGATCAATCTTCATCAACATCTTCACCAGCACCATCTCATCTCAAACCCCAGTTCATCTCTTGTGTTCAATCTTTCTATCAAAACCACATATTGGTACGTGTGGGTGACTACTAGCGTTGATTACATCTTGTAATTGATGCTATTTGGTTTATTTGGTGTAAAAATATATGTTCAGATCCATTATGCTATTTAATACCCCTCTGAGCTTAAACATTAATGTGATTTATGAGTAGTTGTTTTTGTTCCTGAGGACATGGGAGAAGTCTTGTCATAAGTAATCATGTGAATTTGGGCCCTGGTGGCGCGCCCTGGTGGGTTGTGGAGGCCTCGGGCCTTCGTTTACGTTGATTCCACCTCGTAAAATTAACAAATAATCCAAAATAATTCTCCGTAGATTTTTATTACATTTGAACTTCGTTTGATATGGATTTTCTGTGAAACAAAAACATTCAACAAATAGGAACTGGCACTGGGCACTGCATAAGTAAGTTAGTCCAAATAAATCATATAAAAAGTTGTCAAAAGTATGTAAAAGTTGAATAATATTAGCATGAAACAATCAAAAATTATACATATGACGGAGACACATCAGTATCCCCAAGCTTTATTCCTCCTCGTCCTCGAGTAGGTAAATGATAAAAAAGATAATTTTTGATGTGGAATGCTACCTAGCATAAACTTGATCATATATCTAGTCATGGCATGAATATTAAGACATAAGTGATTCAAAGCAATAGTCTATAATTTGACATAAAGATATCGATACTCAGGCATCCCAATAAACAATCATGTCTTTCAGAATATCAACGCGAAAGAAAGTTATCCCTACAAAATCATATAGTCTTGTCATGCTCTGTCTTCTTAACACAAAGTATAAATGATGTACTACCCCAGTGTCAGCCAAGCAATTGGTTCATACTTTTTAACGCGCTTCAGCTTTTTCAACACTCATGCAATACATGAGCGCGAGCCATGGATACAACACTATGGGTGAAATAGAGTATGATGATAGGGTAAATATAAAGAAGAAAAAAGTAAGAAAGTCTCACATCGACGCGGCTAACCAACGGGCTATGAGATGCCCATTGATACGTCTCCGTCGTATCTACTGTCCAAACACTTTTGCCCTTGTTTTGGACTCTAACTTGCATGAAAAGGACCAAGGATATGTTTCTCGTTTATGGAGATGACAAAGAGCTAGTCGTAAATGGTTACGTCGATGCAAGCTTTGACATCCGGACGATTCTAAATCGCAAACCGGATACGTGTTTTTATTAAACGGTGGAGTTGTAAGTTGGTGCAGTTCTAAAAAAAGCGTCGTGGCGGGATCTACATGCGAAGGGGAGTACATAGCTGCTTCGGAAGCAGGAAATGAAGGAGTCTGGATGAAGGAGTTCATTTCCGATCTAGGTGTCATACCTAGTGCATCGGGACCAATGGAGATCTTCTGTGACAATATTAGTGCAATTGCCTTGGCAAAGGAATCCAGATTTCACAAGAGGACCAAGCACATCAAGAGACGCTTCAATTCCATTCGGGACCAAGTCCAGGTGGGAGACATAGAGATTTGCAAGATACATACAGATTTGAATGTTGCAGACCCGTTGACTAAGCCTCTTCCACGAGCAAAACATGATCAGCACCAAGACTCCATGGGTGTTAGAATCATTACAGTGTAATCTAGATTATTTAGTGCAAGTGGGCGACTGAAGGAAATATGCCCTAGAGGCAATAATAAAGTTATTATTTATTTCCTCATATCATGATAAATGTTTATTATTCATGCTATAATTGTATTAACCGGAAACATGATACATGTGTGAATACATAGACAAACATAATGTCACTAGTATGCCTCTACTTGACTAGCTCATTAATCAAAGATGGTTATGTTTCCTAACCATAGACATGTGTTGTCATTTGATTAACGGGATCACATCATTAGGAGAATGATGTGATTGACTTGACCCATTCCGTTAGCCTAGCACTTGATCATTTAGTATGTTGCTATTGCTTTCTTCATGACTTATACAAAGTTCCTACAACTATGAGATTATGCAACTCCTGTTTACCGAAGGAACACTTTGTGTGCTATCAAACGTCACAACGTAACTGGGTGATTATAAAGGAGCTCTACAGGTGTCTCCGAAGGTACATGTTGAGTTGGCGTATTTCGAGATTAGGATTTGTCACTCCGATTGTCGGAGAGGTATCTCTGGGCCCTCTCGGTAATGCACATCACTATAAGCCTTGCAAGCAATGTAGCTAATGAGTTAGTTACAGAATGATGCATTACGTAACGAGTAAAGAGACTTGCCGGTAATGAGATTGAACTAGGTATTGGATACCGACGATCGAATCTCGGGCAAGTAACATACCGATGACAAAGGGAACAACGTATGTTGTTATGCGGTTTGACCGATAAAGATCTTCGTAGATTATGTAGGAGCCAATATGAGCATCTAGGTTCCGCTTTTGGTTATTGACCGGAATCAGTTCTAGGTCATGTCTACATAGTTCTCGAACCCGTAGGGTCCGCACGCTTAACGTTACGATGACAGTTTTATTATGAGTTTATAAGTTTTGATGTACCTAAGGTTGTTCGGAATCCCGGATGTGATCACGGACATGACGAGGAGTCTCGAAAGGTCGAGACATAAAGATTGATATATTGGAAGCCTATATTTGGATATCGGAATCGTTCCGGGTGAAATCGGGATTTTACCAGAGTACCGGGGGGTTACCGGAACCCCCCCGGGGGTTATTGGGCCTACATGGGCCCTAAGGGAGAAGAGAAGAGGAGGCAAGAGGTGGGATGCGCCCCCTCCACCTAGTCCGAATAGGACAAGGAGAGGGGGGTGGCGCCCCCCCTTTCCTTCCCCTCTTCCTCCTCCTTCCCCTCTTCCTCCTCCTTCCCCCCTTCTCCTTCTCCAACTAGGAAAGAAGGGAGTCCTACTCCCGGTAGGAGTAGGACTCCCCCTTGGCGCACCCTCCTTGGCCGGCCGCCCCCTCCCCCTCGGCTCCTTTATATACGGGGGCAGGGGGCACCTCTAGACACACAAGTTGATCTTCGTGATCGTTCCTTAGCCGTGTGAGGTGCCCCCCTCCACCATATTCCACCTCGGTCATATCATAGCGGTGCTTAGGCGAAGCCCTGCGTCGGTAGAACATCATTACCGTCACCACGCTGTCGTGCTGATAGAACTCATCCACGACACCCTGCTGATCGGAGTCCGGGGATTGTCATCGAGCTGAACATGTGCTGAACTCGGACGTGCCGTACATTCGGTACTTGGATCGGTCGGATCGTGAAGACATATGACTACATCAACCGCGTTGTCATAACGCTTCCGCTTACGGTCTACGAGGGTACGTGGACAACACTCTCCCTTCTCGTTGCTATGCATCACCATGATCCTGCGTGTGCGTAGGAAATTTTTTGAAATTACTACGTTCCCCAACAATTCCAACACCATATATTTGCTTTCGCGGAGAAAAAAATCAGAGATAAAGTTTCATCGCGTTTTACGATACAGAGCCGCCGCCAAGCCCTAATCTCTCTCGGGAGGGATGATCTCACTACTGGAATCAGCTACTTTGCCATCTGCCAGATCTTTGCTGTCCGCTAGCGGACGGCAAAGAAGCTCTTTGCCATCAGCTACCGAAAAGCAGACGGCAAAGAAACGGCAGACGGCAAAGAAGGTCTTTGCCATCAGCCATATCTTTGCCATCCGCTGGCTGACGGCAAAGAGGGAGGTGGCACCCGCTAACGGAAAAATTTAACATCCCCCCTCTTTGTCGTCCGC